GGAAGCCACACTGCTCTTCTTGAATCTTGACGTCAACTATTTCACGGCATCTCCTTTCTAACACCTGTTTTTTAATTATAGAATTAATTCAATTGTTAGTGTGTCCCCTGCAGTAGTCGCTGTGATACTAATAGCAGGAAAAATGATATAATGGTAGTAGTTAAAGTCGTAGTAGTAGCGGAGATACCCTAGCACACATAAACAGTAGTAGTAATCATTGACCATAATGGTTAAACTAATAATATTACCAGTAATCTTACTAATAATGATCAGCATAGTAGTAGGAAAAGCAAAAATGTCGTAATAGAAGACATCATAGAAGTAAAAATAGTAATAATAGTAGAAACAGCACCGCCAGCTGTGGTAATAACAGTACAATTATTAGCAATAGTGATCGAAGTAGTAAAAGTAGTAGCAGTTAAACGTTGTAGAAGTATTAATGTTAACAGTGGTCGAGAAGTTTTAACCGTAATAGAATTGTAGGTGTCCATTGGTAATGATTTGAATGGTTTTGTTGTAAACTAGTAGTAGTATACTTGTTGGACAGCAATAATAATTATAGACGTAGTAGTAAAGTAGTGTGACAGCAGCGAAAATATTGGTAGCAAAATTAGTAGCAGTATCAGTAATACAGATTAGTTCAAAACTATCATTAGTAGCCAGACTGGTAGTAGTCGAGGTCTTCCTGGTTGCAGTAGTCATAGTGATGCCAAAAGTAGTGTATTATGCATAAAAATCACCCAGATATTTGCTAGTTTTCGAAACCGCTGAGAAGAGTAAAAATCTCCTATCACTTCTTAGGGATTTTTAGGGACGCAGTCCATCGACCCGTTGCAGCAACCGTCTAAGGAACTGCTTAAGCAGTCCACAGTTCTGTGGTATTTTATTTGCGAAGCATCTAGTTAAGATAAATAAGTGACAGAAGAGTGTAATATTAGCCGTACTAATAGTAAAAGCAGTGGTAATGGTGTAACTGTAATAGGAGTAGCTGTTTAAGTGGTAAAAAGGAATAGGGGTACTAGTAGTCATGGTTAAAGTAAAAATGTTGAAGTTTCTGTCTGTCGATAGTGGTAACGGAAGACTAGCATGGTTTAGGAATTATGGTCATGCGTTCATACCATAAGGATAACATAATGTACATGGTGACGTTCCCTCTACATTCTGGATAGAGAACTGCGCCAGAAATGCAAATAATGTTGTCAAATAGATTCGAGTCATTGTTTCACTTTCACTTGTTCGTAGTATCATTATTTACCGATTCTAGGTCTTTCTGTTCGAAATCTGTTTCTTTTATTTCGACACAGGACGCTAGTGTTGTTCAAGCTTATTCTGCTCGAAAGACGGGTAAGTTTGGCACTTTTAACTTCCTTAAGGTCTCCCTCTAAAGTCCTAGTTTTAGGTACTCTTCCATATCGCACCCGTAAACAGGCTGTGTCATTGCATCATTTCCCTCCTTTCTTTGTTCCCCGGTATGACACAGATTGTGTCCATCAAACGTTAGAGACGGGTTTCGTTTTTAAGGTATGATCGAAAACGGCCTTACGGAATGTACCTCATATTGTGGTCAAAGAACGTCAAAGTCGAATGAAGGTGATGATAGCGACGAAAACGCGGCGAATAATACCGACAGCAGTCTGCTGAAGGAAATCGAAGAAGCCTTAAAGATGAAATCTGGCGAATTCCATTCCTTGCAAGCAACTGCCGGGAAATTTGACACTGCATCGACGGAACCGGTGAACGTAGAAAAGGTGCCAAATTTTACTGTAGGCTACTTTTTAGCAATTGCATGACTTTAACTACAGCTAGATATGATGAAACTGATATTAATGTCGCAACTGTTAAATTAGAAGTAGTTGATATAGTAAAAAATATAATAAATTATACTAAACTGTTTCGTACTGTATTA